CAGAGCAAATTGCATTCAGGAAAAGAAGTTTCAGGGCGAAGTCTTCATTATCCGTTCCTCCTCCCCATTGCGCTCGATGTCTGGGTTTTATATAGCTGGAGACCTCATCGAATAGAAATTATTAGGGAACTCACGTTGCTTGATCCCATACTTTCGCATGTGATTGTTTCCGTATTCAAATATGCCCTGACAGGTTTGAATTAGGATTGAACTGAATGCTCAGTCTTTAGCTGCGATTTGGTTAGTAAGAACGACTGCAGATCCTTTTTGTGTATTGTCGGCTACCGTGGCGAAATTTCATTTTTTGTGGTCGCACTTGATCGTGCGTGCAACAAGCGCACAGAGACTGCTGTGCTTGGCTGGCATAGCGGAAATTAGAAGTATCTATATGATAAGAAAAGTTTGGATGTATTCCATTTTCGTTTCAGCCCATCGAAAGTACAAAGCTTGGATCTGCTGGTATGTGCCTTGGTAACTCCCCAAATGGTCTCGCAGCATGTTCAACTTTTGGCAAGAAGGTACGAATATTGTTACAGTTGCAAATAAAGTAGAAAGTGAAATATTCTTCGATCAAATGGGGTGGTGTCACAGATCCCGTAAAGTTTTCCTTTTCCTTGGGAAAATTTAGGACAAGCAACATATTCAAATTTTTCTGCATATAATTTCCGTAAGGATTACCACTTTGCAGGTGTTCATAATTGATACAAAAAACGGTCTCGCTCCAGTTTTGAACTACGCCCACCACAAAGGAGCTGTGCTCACATTGGCTATGCAGGTTTGCATTGTCTCGAACCTTTAGTACTTAACTTACGATCAGTCAAAATGCTACCTTTTCAAGGATAATATTGTATATTCGTGTGGTGAAGATCGCCGGATAGTTATGGTGGATATTCGAAATTCGAGCAAACCTGTGTCTGGATTGGTTCGTGGTCTTCCAGTTTTCCCATAAGTAACAACTTTTAGGTGTTTGGCATTAGTGACTCAAATACCACGCAAGTTTCAGTGGTCGATGGATTATGTACGCTCAGTTTGTTT